TGGAAATGCTGGCAAAAAGCACAAACTTCCTGATGTAAAGAATTGTCACTCATGGATAGCAAACAAAAATCAATTCTGGTTTGCATATTCAATCTGATTTTGGCTTGTATGTTAAATCATAAAATGGCAGAATTCTCACACAGTAGATAGATTTCACCCACTTATTCATGCATGTATGGATCTACTAATCCTCATGTGCCAAAAAGTCAAAATTGTTCCTGCAGGTGTTCTCATCTTCTACTTTCACATACTGTAGGGTGGTGCTCTCCAGAAGATACTCCCTAAGATTCTTCTCACAGTTGCTGATCTCTTTTGACCTTTCTTGGCTGGACAAATCAATAGCTTGCATTCTAAAATCATAACTTCAGGGGATATAGTCCATTAAAAGGGTCCACAAAAAAAAAACTATTGGACCAAATTTTCAAAGGAACCTCAACAAGAAACTGGTTCCCCATTGCCACAAAACTAAGATGACCCTAACACAAGGATAGGTAAATACAGCCCATCAGAAAGAGACATGGTAAGCCCCACATCACATACATTTTTGGGGATACAGGCTAACTTGGACACGCTCTCAAGGTGCGCTGACCACAACCTGATGGCCTTCAACGTAGAGAAGTGTAAGGTGCTACACCTCGGTAGGAAGAACCCTCAACATACTTAAAGCTCAGCGGTCCTGCGCTCGCTAGCACCACGACCGAAAGAGACTTGGGGGTCCTGATTGACCACAAGATGAATGAGTCACCAATGTGATGCTGTGGCTGGCAAAGCAAACCAAACTCTAGCATGCATGTACCGATGCATCTCAAGCAAAGCCAGGGATGTGATCCTCCCACTTTACTTGGCCTTGGTGAGGCTGCAGCTGGAGTACTGCATACAGTTTTGGGCCCCCCACTTCAGGAGGGATGTGGAAAAACTTGAGAGAGTCCAGAGGACAGCCACTTGTATGATCCAAGGCCCGGAAGACAGGCCATACAAGGAGAGGATGAGGGATTTGGGACTCTTCAATCTGGAGAAGAGAAGGTTCAGGGGGGACTTGGTAGCAGCCTACAATTATATAAGAGGGGTACATCAGGACCTGGGAGAACACCTGTTCACCAGAGCTCCCCAAGGGATAACAAGGTCTAACAGCCATAAACTCCAGGAAGGCCAATTTAGACTAGACATAAGAAAAAAGTTCTTTACAGTACAAGAGTCCAGGGTCTGGAACAGACTCCCCCACTACTCTGGACTCTTAAGAAAACATCTGGATATTTTTCTTGCTGGGATCACTTGATCCCAGCTGACTTCCTGCCTATGGCGGTGGGACTGGACTTGATTTCATGAGGTCCCTTCTAGTCCCTAAAGTCTATGAAATCTATGAAATTTTGACTTCTTCACTCCCACAGCTGAGCTGCACCTTTCTTTCCCATTTCCAATGATCCATGTTTCTTCACCAACTTTAAATGCCTGGCAAGCATCACCAAATGGGGTCCCAAACAGTTCACCCAGAATCCCTCTGTCACCCCCTCTCAGCCTGGCACATATGATATGGTTCTTCCCTCCATGAAGGGAAGCCAGACTAGGTTGCCCTGCACCTCATTTGCATATGCATTTTTGGAGCATCCCAGGGCTCATGGCAAGAACACCTAGCTCCAGTTACGAGTGGGTGGCTAAGTAGCACATGGATCCTTTGTGGGGCTGTATCTGGAGTACACACACATAATGAACAATGCTGAGCTGGGGGGTTACCATGGCTTGAAATGCTGTTGACTCTGGTGGGGCCCAACCCAATGAAGTATGTGGTAAATCATGAGCCTTTGGCTTTGGACTAATATCACATGTAGTTTTGCCACCTCTTAAAGGCTCAGATCAAGCATAGTGGCTTCTTAACCTGGCAGGGGAAATACCATGCATCTGTGTCCAAGGCGGCAGTTTTCCTGAGCTGCTTCACAGGAGAACTGCTCTTCTGGCATGGTTCAGTACCTGCTGAGGTGCAGCACCTTTAAACCCAGTTTAGGGAAATGGGATTCTCCTCCCTTGCTTGCTCCAAGGGCTTTATGGCTAAGGGCAAGCAAAATCTGGGGGCATCTGAACCTCAAGCCTTGGGCCTGCAAGTAGGATGCTTACCAAAGACTTTGGAAACATCTGAAGTCCCGGGTGCATGTGGAGGATGCTTGCCAGTAGTAGGGCCACTTATGGTTCTGGACTCTTGGATTTGGAATTAGTTTTGGCTAATTTGGCCTTGGATACAAACTATATATATTTGAAAAAAAAAAAAAAAGTTTGCCACCAGGGTGGTTTTCCTACTGGCTGAGGAAAACCACGAATGTGGCAGGGGATAGTACCTTGACAGAGGTAATGCATAATTAGTCTCCCACTTTCACTTTCAGTGGGAAGATCTCGGCTATATATGCCAACTTTATGGAAATGGGAGACTCCTCCCTAGCTTGGTCCTGTGACCATACAGCTGAGGGCAAGCAAAACTTGGGGGCATCTTAATCCAAAGGATTTGAAAGCATCTGAAGCCCCAGGCAGGGCCACATATGGTTCTTGAATGACTCACAGATTTGGAAATGATTTGGTTGATTTGACTTGGGACACACAAAATTTTCGATTAAAGAAAATGTAGTTTGTACTGCATATAAGTAGGTACCAAAGTGCTGCTGAAAAGCATGTTTATAGAGTGCCTGTGCTAAAACTTGTGGTAATTTCAAAAAAAGGTTACATGCATCAATTCTGGATAAATTAAGTGTATGGGTACTACATGAAAATTGCTACAGCCATGTTTAATTTCAAAGTTACTGCTTTTGCTCCTTTCTTTTATGTGATTAGTGGGGATCCTGGTTTTCCCTGACCAAAAAAAAAAAATCACAAATTCTCTAATAAAAATAAATCGCAAATTGTCTGATAAAAACCCCAAAATCTATGATTAAGATGAAAGGCAACTATATAAACATGCATCAGTTGAACACTATATTTTCTTGATATATTTACATTTTTAAAGCGATTTGGAAGCCTACCAGTCCCTCAATCACTATAAGCAGACAAGGTTCCTTGGGTGAATTTGATATCTTTTATTAGACCAACCCAAATAGTTGGAGAATATTTATTAAGCAAGCTTTCGGGTTCAAAAACCCTTCGTCAGGCTAAGGAAGTTTCAGCAGCTGGTGTGTGCTCTTCCTGGGTGGAATGAAAAGTAAACAAGCCAGGGGCTGGGCAACTGACTCCCCTAGCTGCCAGGGCTATGGGGCCAGGGAACTGGGTTAGCAGTCCCCTGCTGCCGGCAGGAGGCAGCAGCTGCTGCAACAGAATGGCTTATGGAGCTTGCCCCCCCCCTGCCCATTGTGGACTTGGGCAGGAGTGGGGCCAGCTCCCCACCACTGCGCTCACTCCCAAGGAGTAAGGGAGAAAGATACCCCCCAGATCTGTGCACAGGCTGGATGCAGCTCAGGGTCCCTGACCTGCTGCCCTGGCCCCTTGGGGACCTCCGCAGCCCAGCAGGAGTGACCTGGCACAGCAGGGTACAGCAGGGCCACATGGGGGAACTCATTGCCACTGTCAGCTCCACGCTGCCCTGGCAAGGTATCCCCTGCCCATGCAGCAGCAGCGTGGTGCACAACCCTGTGCCACTGCCCCCATTGCTGCTGTGTGGGCAAGGGATGCCTCACCAGCTCAGCATGGAGCTCGCAACGGCAACAAGCTTCCCTTTCTAGTCCTGCTGTGCCCTGCCACGCCAGCTGCAAAGTCCCCGGGGAGCCTAAGCCCACAGCAAGCAGCCCACCCCACCCCCGTCCACAGATCTCGGGGGCACGGGTCCCCCCTGCACCCTCTGGGAGTGCATGCAGTGGTGGGGAGCTGGCCCACCCCCAAACTGCAGATAAGTCTCCCATGGCCCCATCCCTCTCCCCGCTGAGGCCCTGTGGCCCCGGGCCCCAAGCCTCGTGTACTGTCCAGTTGGGCAGCAGCCCCAGCCCTGCCCAAATCCCTCCCTCCCTATGGGGGTCTCAGTTCCTCCCCTCCCTCCAACTTACCTGCAGAAGATGCTCTCCAGGTTGCTTGGGGCCATGTGCACACACATCCACATGGCGTCCCCTGCCTGACTGCCCTCCTCCAGAAAACCCAGACTGCTGGCAATCAGGGAAAGCAGGGTCTAACAGCAAGGAGAGGGGAAAGGGGATGCCAGGGGGAAAAACTAGGGGGTAAGTTAGAAGCAGAGAGTAAAACAATAAATTTGACCCCCAGTTTACACAATAAATTTGACCCCCGGTTTATTTTCCCTGCCGTAACAGTGGGAAGGGAACAAATTCAAGGCAAATCTCCAATAATTAGATTCTATACCTGCAAAATTATAACTAATTTATAAATTTTCCATATATATAATTTAATTATTAGGGGGTCATCTTATAATCGTGGTCATCTATTTGGGTAAATATAGTAATACTACAGTATATACACAACCATACTTCTGCGCATAAATAGTAATCCTAGACTAGCTGTCAAAGGTTATAGGCCCAATCCATTCTCCTCTGGTCCCTGCACAACTCTCAGAAGTACCAGGCAGAAGTACAGTCTTATGCTTTGTGAAGTACTATTCCAACTATACATCTCAGGAGACAGTCATTTCAAAAGTATGGGTCTCTCTCCAACGGTACAGGGCCAAAAAGGGGCATGATTTGATCCTTTTCTGCCAGCAATGTAACAATTGTGACCATTACCATTGCAATGAAGAGATGCAGGAGTGGCAACTGCGGGGCACTTAATTGTGCTCTCCCAGTGTAGAGTAGCACTGCATTGCACCCAGTGCAAGGTTGTGCCTAAATAGTCAAATCAAACTGTTTTCTGTTTACAGGCTACTCTTAAACATTATCTGTTTAAATAATCTTGAAAGTATGAAACTGACTTGGCTATGTATTTTTCCTGAATGCATTATATTACATTTAGTTTAACTGAAGTCAAAGGATTTCCTAAGAACAGACAGGGGGGAGAGAGAGACAGAGAGAGAAGATGTAGCTTTCTACCTGCTTGGTTGGTTGTCACAGTGACTGAAACAGCCTGGTCCTGGCTGGGATTTTGCTTGGATACTCCATTCACTGCCCAAACTTCAAAGGTGTAGTTAGTGTGTGCCAGAAGGTCAGTAATAGAGACCTTTGTGGTTTTTAAGCCATTCTGCTGGGGGCTGAAGTGCACACCACTGCCACATGACCGACAGCGGTTAAGGTCATTGGCACCACATCTCTTGCACACTATGTTGTAGGAGATGTCTTCACGGCCACCTTTGTTCTGAGGGGGGCTCCACTCCAAGTTCACTGATGTCTCATTGACATTGGAAATCAAGTTCTGGGGAGAAGATGGAGGGCCTAAAAATGGAAGACCAGAGCTTATTAGTAATATGTAGTAATATCCTTTCATAGCATCTCAAAACTGCATCTCCTGAGAGAGGCTGAACACTCACAACTCGATTAAATCAATGATACTGGACTGTGTGCACTGAATGAAGGTTTATAGGTAAATAATTAATGCTCCTTTCATCAAAGGATCTCACAGAATTTTAAGACACCAGTTAACCAGAATATACTAATTATAAGTGTGAACTTTTCACCATATTATTAAGTTTTTCATTATCTACCGATTCTGGCTTCAAACATGCAAACTTCCCTTTATTTCAAATTACCACAATCTCCCGTTACATACAATAAGAGTGGTGCCTCAGATGTTCCTCAGTCAAACTGGACATCATACCCCAGAATCTTTTGCTTGTGGAAAAATGGGTGCCACTGAAGTCAGTCACATTGCACTCAATGGAAAGTGCAAACCACTGGGAGGGAAACTAGAACTCCAAGAAACTTAAAGAACATGGAAGAAGAGGGGCATATGAGATGCAGAATGGAGATTTGGTTAGGGGGAAGAACAGAAAACTAAAGAGTTGCAGGAGGGAGACTGAAGGAAAGAAAGAGATGGGGAGAAAGAAGATAAAATATGGGTGAGGGTAAATAATGAGGAATCTAAATGTAGTAAGGAGGGGCATGAGATGGTACACAGGACCTGAAGAAAGAATATGAATGGCCAGGAGAATACTAAGTACACCTAAGAAGGAGGCAGAAAGGATGGAAATGGAAGAGGGATAGGATGTCAGCTCCCCACCAGGGTTAGGGGAAGACAGGTGGAAATCCTACCCTTATAGGATCCATTGTTACTCATTGTTAAGACTATAGACAAATGTAACTTGTAATCCCTTTAAAAAGGGAAGGAAGCTACCACTCAGGAATCTGCACCAGTAGTTATGATAACTGTTGTATTTGCACATTCAAAAATAAGCTAATGCTGTGAATGAAACAGGGTTAAAGTTGCAAAGGTTTTCCTGAATTTGTATGCATGATGACAGTAGCATCATAACAGCTTGTACAGATATCACTTGGTATCAGTGTATTTATTGTAGCTGTGTTTTCTAATATAAGTATTTTCCTCCATTGCCCCAATCCCAGCATTTGAGGGAGGAGAGGGTTGGGGCAGGCAGAGGCAGCACAGGGTACCAGGATACTAGCACAGGCCCCCAACACATGGGGCCAGGCACAAACAGTGCAGTCCAGAGCTGGTCAGGTGGGGCCCAATCCTGGTGTGCAGGGTCTGATCTAGCCAACAGATCTGCCCTGCACCACTCTTTTGGTCAGCAGGGCTAAAATATTGGGCACCACTGATCTAGACCTTCTAAAACAAC